TTGATGCCAGATTTCAGGTTCACTCACATTTGAGAAAAAGCATTTTTCATTAAAGTCGACAAGATAACAGTTATCAGTTGAACGAGAACCTGTAAGTACACATGAGCCTTCACTGTTTTTCACGTAACACTTATCACATGAGAAACTGACACTAAGACATTGGTCACATAGCTGACTTACACTCAAGAGATTTGCCTTTAATTCATCCACAAGTAACACATCAGTTAATTTAGGCAACCCACCCAAATTTAAACAACCTGTTCTAATGACCTTATTGCTCACACCATCACCAAATGTAACTTCTCCACTTGAACCTGTCTGAATATTCATTAGGTATGATGGTTCACCAGTCATGTGTTTGGAGCATCCACTATCCAGATACCATTTTCCTTTCAGAGAGGTTATGAGAGAGAGTACTGAAGCCAAACACTTGAAGGATTTCTTAACAACCCACACTTGACGAGTTTTGGTACAGTTTTTTGGGAGGCTTCTAGCATGAACATTCAGAGGAATGCCAGAATGGTTCCAACTCCTAACATTACTTGTACAAATATCATGCTGCATTTTATAGCATTTGGGTCTTATGTGACCAGTAATACGACAATAATGACAAATAGGAACAATGTTATGATGAATTTTTCTAACAGGTTCCTGCACGGGTGAATGAACCTTCAATGGGGATTTTGGGGAGAGAGGTTTACTTACAGTGCTTTTTACAAACCTGCCAAAGACGTTTCTGGAAGGTTTCCCATGCAGGTTTATACCTCCAACTCCAGGATTGTCCCCAAAACCAAGGCCAGGGTGTGTTATAGTTGAAGTTCATGTTGATGATTCAGGATTGTGCTCCTTGCCTGTGTACCATATTCCACTAAGATCGCCATGTTGTCTACCCAAGGAAAAAAGTTCATTTAGATCTGTTTTTCCCTTGTTCAGTTTACGAACAGCCTCAGCGGTACGATTCAACTCGGCTGAATTGGCTTTCAGTTTACTTTCCATGCTGGCATGTTCGTTCATGAGGCAATCGACTTCAGCTTTCACTTTCAGCTTCAAGATCTCATGGTTCCGTTCCATAAGTAGTTTATGATTAGAAAATAGTTCAGTCCTCAAGCATTCAATGGTCTGAGCCTTTTTCCAGTCCATCTTGCTTAGTAAATTAGACACTGCTCTCAAGGATGCTAGTTCGAGCCTTTGCAGTATCTAATTCAATTTTTAGCAACAGTGGAAGAGGATGCTTGTTCGTTCAACACCCTGTTTACCCTTGAAAGTCTAAACACTTCATTTTGAAGATTCTGTAAGGCTTCAGACCCTTGAGCACACTTTTCCATGGCATGTAAGTGTACTGGATAAACAGACACATTCTGATCTCCTTCATCTTCAGATGCTTCAGATTCTCTTTAACTTTCTTCAAACTTGGTTGGGACGTGAGAAGTGGTGAGACACATGAACTTCTTAACTGAGGTTTGGATCGCCATATTACTAGTGTGCGATGGAGGTTCGTCTGTGCCCTTGTCATCTGAATCTTCCCAGGTTGCTTTGAGAGTCTTTTTTTTCTTCTTAAGGTTAGCACACTCATACTGAAAGTGTCCAAAGCCTCGACACTCCTGCATTTATCCTTTTCAACTCGTTGTGAATCGGGTTTTGAGGGTAGCACACTATTTTTCTTGTCCTGAACCATATTTTTGCTGAAATTGTTACCCTTTTTCCCAGCAAATTTATTCTTGTACATCCTTTGACTCATCTTCCCATAGTTTCGTGCAATTAGAGCAAGAGCTTCCTTCAGCTCACTGTCATCAGCCAAAGAACCTTCATCGTCATCGTTGTTTTCATTTTCTTCAACTACAGCAGCTTTGAGAGCTAGACCCTTACTTTGACTTTGTCATAGTTGTTGTTGATTTCAAACGTCCTGAGCTCTCCGAAAAGTTCATCAACATCCAAAGACGCCACTCTTTGGAAACTTTCAAGTGCTGTAATTTTCTCTCCAAACCTGGGAACAACCATTCTCATAATCTTTTGAACTTGACGTTTTTCAGAAATTTCTTCTCCAAGCATCGCACTTTGATTCACCAGATCACAGAATCTGTCATAGTAAATGTCAATTGTCTCTTCATCCTTCATTCTGATTTCATCAAATTCAAGAGTCGTCCTTTAAAGTCTGAATGTCCTGACAGCCGTTGAACCTTCGAATTGACGTTGTAAAACCCGCCAAACATCTTTCGCAGTCTTGCATTGAACTATCATCTTGTGTCTAGTCTGATCCACTGCCATCATAATCGCACACAAGGCACAATAGTTAGCTTCTTCTTGAAGCTTCTCAGCATCTGTCCAGTCTTCTTTTCCTTGATCAGGTGCTTGTGCCATGATTGGATGCTCCCAGCCGTTTTCAACACTTTACCACACACCTTTTTCAAACGATCTTAGGAAAATTGTCATCATAGACTTCCGGTACGAGTAATTTGAACCGTACAATTGTGCAGGCCTAGACATCGATCCACTTTCTTGATTCATGATTGCACAGTAACACAAGTCCTTAGATATTTTGTACTGTAGATGAAAACCTGCTCTGGTGCCAATTGAAATTTGATACTCGTACACCAAGTATCCAGAGTTGCACGTAAATGGAATAAACAAACGGTAAAGAAGATTCAAACAAATGCGGAAGCAATTTTCACTAAGAATTGAACCTTCAGGAGAGCGTCCCAGTCTCCCTTCAGATCTCTTTCATTAATATGAATAACTCAAACATTATTCAAGGGTTTACAGTATAAACTCACTCTACACTCTACTTCAATAGAGATCCACACAACTACTTATCTGACCACAACTCTCTTGTGGATTTCTTAGTTTGAATCCCTCATACTAAACAGAATGAACCTCCGAACACTTTGTTCCAAACTCACAGAATAATGTATATATTAAAAATCTCCCAACGCTCAAAAAAAACAAGGAATACACTCAAAACAAAAGAATGAATAATCTCATATGCAAAAGTCGACCTCTACATGCGTATCGATCTCCTTTTATCCTCGAGCATCAAATGGTAAGTCTTTCCTTTATCTTTGCGTCCAAGATATCATCTCACAAGGAAGGTCTCTTCTAATTTAGGAATCCCGTTGTCTTTCTCTCTTGCGTTTAAGGAAATTGAATGTCGCACTTGATCTTATTGACCTGCCAAAATAACACACACTTTATTAGTCAATTAATCTTTAATATAAAAGAGTTTTTTTTTTTTTTTTTAATTCAACTAAAAACACACTTCCCTTAATTACACTAGCGATTTTCTGACTGCTGAGAATCTGAAAGGTTCATCGACTTACTGCGAATCTTCACAACTTACACATCTTAACTAGAGTTCTTGGTTTTCATAAGGATAGAACTTAGGCCCCATATCATATTATCATGCTCATGCTTGAATAACTTAACTTATTCTTACATACCTTGGAGTTGGTGTGGCGCGACGGTGGCGAGTGGCCAAACCTTGAAAAAACATTTCTACAAATTTTACAAGTCTACAAAACCATAGACCTACAATAATAACGCTAGGCCTGCCATGGTTTTTCAGATCTTAGTGATGGTGGCGTCTGTGATGTTTGGATCTCGAATCTCGAATCTCAGTGGAGAGAGAGAGAGAGAGAGAGAGAGAGAGAGAGAGAGAGAGAGAGAGAGAGTGCATATGTGTGTGTGTGTAAATTGTGTGTTTTATGTGTGTGTTTGTGTGAGAGAGATGGTAGGGTGGGTGGGACCCACTGGGTGGGTGAGTGAGGGGGACTATGGGTAATGTCCAATTTACATATACTAAGTGGTTAGATGTAGACATTTGACTACGATATGTTCACCTAGTTACAAGATTGACACTGCGTGTTTGACTGCAGTGTATTAAAATTAAACTTGATTATGATTGTTGCCTTGATGCATCTTATGGTACAAAATTATTCTTATTTCTTTCACTATCTAGCTGATAGAGTCCTCTCCTAGATCTGGATCCAACTGGTTGAAATGAGCTTCGATCTGTCTAAACCGCCATGAACACCTGCAAACACTCAACGCCAGAGGGATTTCCAGCGAAGAGCCTCTGATTCTTAAGTCAGTCTCAAGAAGATGATGGTGGTGCTCTGTAAATAGAGTAGTATGAAATGTGTAGTGAGTGGAAAGTTGTGATATGATGATATCTCATCATAACGTTATGGATAAAATGAAAGGAAAAATCGTGAGGTAGTTAGTTGTGGGCCCAATATGGGGAAAGTTGCATATGGGTCAAATGAAGGGGAAAAAAATAACGTTATGCAACTAAGAAATTCTCTTATCTCTCTACTTTCTCTCTACTTCCCTTCCCAAAAATCATCTTCTTCCTCCTAACTTTTTATGCAATCCATAAGTTCATCACAAGAATTTAAACAGAAAAATTGCAAAAAAAAAAAAAAATCAAAACAATCTGATCACGACATCACTATACACCATCACTCCTAAAAACTGACTTCGTCATCGTATACGCTACGTCGAGATATCCTTGACATTGTTTTGCAGGCAATCGAAGCGGTTCATGAATGGTTTAATCGACATTGAACCGGATCGAACACACCCATTTCCCACTACATAAATAGGATCAAAATTGATTTTTTGTGGTCAGTAGGAGATCAAGAAACTTTTAATTGTCCAAAATTCGTGGTGTTTATACGTGAAAAAAACCATGTTTTCCATTTTTTTTTTTCTTTCTTTTTTAATTCCCTTGTCCCTCCTTTTAAAACCAATTATTATTTTAAGGAAAATATTATTTTACACTAGCAAAGAAACACGAGACATAATAAAGGTGGAAAATTGAAGTGTTATGGCGCCTACATCAACGGAGAGTGACAAACACCAGTTTGAGAATAATGACTTTTTAGTGGCCTTTTTTATTTATTGTACATTACAAACGTCATTATTAAATAATTTGTCCTAGGAACAACCATTCATTTTTCTGGTCCAATAATCGGAATCACAAGAGAAAAAAAGGCAAAACTAAAATGGGCGCGAGGTGGGTGGTAGGAGTGACGGTCCTCCTGGTCGTGGTCGGCGGCACAGTGTCGGCGGACGACTGCTTGTCGCCGCTGATGAAGCTTTCGAGTTGCTTCCAATTCGTGATGCCCCTGAGCAAGGCGTCGAAGCCGGACGAAAACTGCTGCGCCGCCCTCAACTCGCTGCTGGATTCGGACGCGGCGAGTGGCACCCGCGCGATGACCAACTGCATGTGCAACGCTTTCAACGGCCACGGCGAGTTCGCAGTCCAGATCAACAAGACCCGGGCCCTCGCCCTCACCGACGCCTGTTATGCTTCACACCCTGCTAACTGTACCCGTAAGATCAGATTTCGCTTCAACCAATTTTCAATTGCTTTATATATATATATATATATTATTAATGTGAATGATTTATTAATTGTGTTGGAATTATTCTGAAAGATGGTATAAATTTAATTTATATAATATAATATTTTTTGGGTTCATTAATGTGCTTAAATTTTACGATCAATGACCAGATCACTTCTATTTTTGTTGTTCTCTTGTGTACGTTTTAATTTAATGTACAATACATATATATATATATATATATATATATATATA